GTGTCTTCAGGTCCGAATGCATTTGCATCATTGTAAATAACAAGTTTCAAATATTTGATTATTTGTAACAAAAATAGAGTTCAGTGTATAACATTTATATGATTGGGACCCCAGAACTCAACATGCGTTGTGGAAGTGGCTTCTATGACACACAAGATTATTTAAATCCATGTGAAAATATTTTGTACGCAGGTGTACATGAAAAAAGTGACAAATTGTTATATAATTAGCGAACGAAACAAGGCTATGCACTACCTTTAAAATTCGTAAAACCATAAAAAAACTTGCGTGTAGCGCGGTTGGTGTAAGTGCTCGGTGATAGAAGAATAATACGTTACAATATGGCTTATACTCTCGAGCGTTCATTCCTAACTTCCTATAAATGATCCTGTGCAGCCCATTGTGCCTGATCCACCTATCAAAAGTTAGTCTAGATTTCGTAACTATTATTTACTTCAGGGTTTTCATGGAGTAAATTACTATGCAGGTAAAACATGCCCGCGATCAAGCCTCCAAGCTCGGCTTCGCGATCCCTACGTGATTCAAGCGAGGGAGCGCGGGGTTTCTTTGCGTCAACTCTGGACCAGAATATAGTTCATTCAACAACTACCAATTCAATCATAAGGTCATGTTCTTTTTGCTTGGAATGATAAGTTGTGAAGTTGTGTTCCTTGCAAATTGGTAGTGTGTACTACAATATTTCGATGCTGTATAATACTACTTTTCTTATTATACAGATGCAGTCTTTCACCCTCTCCTCTGTTCTCTTTGTGTCCAGAAACCAGTAATATTACTCCCCCCCCCCTTTTTTTTACTTACCTGACGTCGTTCCACTTGCTGTATACAAAAGCAAGTGAAAGTTTTATTGAGAAGCTTAGAAATTTCTCGGTATGCTTAAATATTTTTTCTCTTTTGTGGCTTCTTTAGTGGGATACATTGACAGGAATGCTTTCTCGGTCATTGGCGATCCTCCTAGTGACACAAGAAGAGTTTTTTTGTTAATTTACTCTACATAAAAATTTGGAACTTTGCATTTCCTCTCACCAGTTGAAAGTTTTCATGTTATTTTATTCTTATCTTTATCATTATATCAAGTAAAGTCATTTTTCATACTATTTATTAGCCTTAGTCAGCCGTCAATATTCGTTTAAAGCCTGATTGATTGATATGTGGGGTTTAACGTCCCAAAACCACCATTCGATTATGAGAGACGCCGTAATGGAAGGTTCCGGAAATTTCGACCACCTGGGGTTCTTTAACGTGCACCGAAATCTGAGCACATGGGCCTACAACACTTCCGCCTCCATCGGAAATGCAGCCGCCGCAGCTATTCGTTTAAAGCCTGGACAACCAATTTATGTCTTATCGTTCATCTAAATACGAATAAAATAATTCTTTTTTTATAAACCACGGTTTTAAGGCCGATTCTTTGTAATGGTTACGAGTCAAAAATCAAAAGCAAAAGAAGCAAGCAGTGCAAAAAGCGGATATTGCTTCTGGTGTGTTATACTGGGTCTTTATTCGTTGTGTATTTTTTGAGAAGTCTTTCACTTTAAAATTAACTTTGGACCCATTTTACTGAGTACTGCTTCGATTATTGCTTCTACCAGTCGATTCCTGGCCTATTTCTCTCAGGGGGTCCCCACTACGAAAAAAAATAGTAATGATAAATACCATCACCATCGCCAACAAATGCGAGAGGTCAGCTTCGCACTTGAACGCTTCTCCTAAATCCCCTAACTGTTTATTGAGAAGGCCTAGCTTCCCCATTTCTCTTTTCCTACCTCAGAAACCTCGTTTCTCACATCAGTTCCTAATTAGTGGCAGAAATAGGTGTGTACATATTGTGTGCTAATAGTATGAAGCCACGTAAAAAAAGTTCGCAATTAGATCAAACAAATTATGCATGCACCTCTCTCAATAGATGGCTGCCCAGGTTTTGCAGGTAGCAGAGCAAGTTTCCTGAAAGGAAAAAAAAAAAGATTAGAGAAGTTTTAGGTTTTTTTTTTCATTTTCTTTCAGGGGTGGGATTATTTACGCAAGAACTGATATTGCCATAATCAGCTACATTTTGTTCTCTTTTTCTTCTGCTTTCCAACTTAGAGCAAGTAGGCTCACCTTGTCACGCAATAAACATTTTGTTTATTCAATTCACTGCTTCATTGATTCATTCATTATTAAATTTGCTTTAGGCTAGCTAACAAAAATAACGTCTTCTTTTTTGTTTTCTTTTTTGTTTTTTTTTGCAGCTGTTAATGATTACACATTTTAGCTTAATGACAACTGGTTACTCCTACAAAAATTACGGTGCTAAAACAGACGCTTACAGATTCGGCGTTTGTCAGTGATTTAAATAATATAAAAGAAACTTTTCATAAATTCAGATAACGAGCTTTATTAGTGCTGCCCGATCGTTCCGCATCACGGCCTCAATATCTTCACGCTAATTCATTTTCCTGGCATTAACGCGTCGTTAGAAGATGAAACACTTAAGAGCGTGTGCCAGCGCGTGACAGCGGTCGGCGAAGAAGAGGAACCACGGGCGGTGGTTCCATTTGGTGCCCGAATCGCGCGCGCTTCGGACGCCATTGCTGCTTCGTCCTCCGAGGCGAGATCGCCATTCGGAGACCGACGTCTGGAGCCGAGACTGCGTAAGGTGAGTTCCGTCAACGTCACGCACATGGGATCACTGTATTCAACCGCCGCTCTTTTCATTCGGAGGCTTGCATCGATTTCTTTACTCGATGTGATTCGTTTGCCCGCGTGTATGGTGTAAACTACGTGTTATCCACGTCAGCGCGGTAACATATGAGCATATCTTTAAGTGCACTGGCACGGGGAATAGAAGATATGATTTGGCTTTCTTCGAGTTCGCTTGCCCAGCGTTTTGTCGGTGTGCCCGATGTGTTCGAGTATAATGTTGGCCGACTAGTCGGTCTGGTCCGTTAACGTTTAATGTCACTGTTAAGAGTCCGTCATTATGAGTCAGTAGGGAAGAATAAACGGAATTGAGGTGCAGACCCACGTAGGTTATGGCAGCATTTTCTGGAACCTAGCAATGTGAGGCACTCTATTGATAAAGTCGTGTTCTTTCAATTCTAAGTATACACGACTTCTCCGTGGGATAGGTGTGGCGGAGCCCTGTTTTACGCGGTAACGAGTGATGAAATTTTCCGGTGATCAGTAACTCGAATTAAGTCAGACTTCACTCCGCAAGCAATATTCCTCATTAGCCGACCACTTTCGTGAAACGTTCAGCGTAACGACTGGCTAAAGTTTTATTACGAAAAATTTCTACGCGGAGTATTGAGGACTGTTTGATGCGGACTTGCGATCGCAGCGATGTCTAAAGCGGACCTGATGTCTCTCAAACGTGCGCGGAAAGCAAAAAGGAAGGTGGCAGCAAATGGCCTCTCAGCAGTCAAAACCTGTCGTAAAGTGTGCCGCATTGCTATGAATAATAACTAAAAGAGCGTTAATCAGCCCACACGAGCAACACGCCACTTTCAAGTCGCTTCAAGCTTGTATCCATCAGCTCCTATAGTTCACGTACATTGTGTTTATAAGTTCTCATATTTTATGAATCGCGCAGAATTTTAAATTGGTAAGTGATTAGAAAAAAAAGTTTGCAAAATATTTCAGCCAGACATAGTGCGCTTACTTTTTCAGACATGATGCTTGGAAAAAAGAAGTGTCGGGGTTTCACGGAACGCACTTTCGTTAAGGCTCCCCAACTGTGACGCTAGAGATAGCAGCACCATCTTAGGGACTCGGTCGGAGTGCAAGCTGAACGAGAAACGCTGCGCGTAAACAGAACGCGTCAGCTTTCAAGTGACGCCCCTAGAGCTTCTGCTGATTTATAGCGCAAGGGAAAAAAGCAGCAAAACGTACGCCGTTATGCGGTAAACCAGCTTGCTTTCCGACTAAACCGTCTCTTTTTTAGTTTTTTTTTTGTGCTGCTACTCCGTATACGAGGACGCAGATGCACTCGGTATTTTATTATTAAGCTTCTTTTTCTATTTGCCAGAAAATTAACAGGTATGATCACACCCACTATACAACTATTTCTTGTGCCGTGCTCGATATGATGATTTGATATGTAGGGTTTAACGTCACAAAACCACCATGTGATTATGAAAGACGCCGCAGTGGAGGGCTCCGGAAATTTCGACCACCTGGGGTTCTTTAACGTGCCCCCAAATCTGAGGGTGCGCCATTCCCTGTTTTTTCTGTGAAACTTCTCAATTTATAGCGAGAAAATTTTAATGTCTTCATCACCTAACGTTCTCTTTCATGATATCTTGTGAAGTTTTTCTTGTTTCCGCTCTATGCATTGAATATTGTCAGTGAGCTGCGTTCTTGAAGCCTAATGAAGGTGGCATTACCTTTTCGGTTGAAACAAGTACGATTTCTTACTCTGTATTATTTGTGCAAATATGCACAGCTTTTCCACTTCATATTTTTCCTTTTTTTTACCGAGTTAGCAAACTGAAGTTTCGTGAGACGTGTTACATTGCTTTCATTTTGGGTGATCCGTCTCTAAGAGGAAATGAAACGCACACTGATCGAATTCAATATCTCATCAGCTGAGACTTGTAACTCCAACAGTACTAATATACAGTACAGAACAGCAGAAATATCAGAGATTATACAGCATAGAACTATATGGTATATAACTGAAGTCTGGCACGTCACGTGGCACGTTGCTAGGCTCGAGGAGACGCGTTTGAGTCCTGACCATGGCGCCTCATCTTGACAGGGGCGCGCTTAGATTTAGATGCTTGCTAAGGAGCCCCGGGGGGCCGAAATCAACGTGCAACCCACCACTGTGTTTGCCTCGTTATCGCGTCGTAGATTCCGCACGTGAAACTCGAGCAATGGTATCAGTATGTACACAATTCGAGTACCACCTGTTTTGCCGAACAGTTGCTCCGAATGCGCTGTTACAACTCCACTCGCTGGAAGTAGATGAGTGCTAATGATCTATTTTTTCCCCACCCAGCCTCAGGAAGGTCGGAACCAAGGGGGGAGGAGAATGGTGCGTGTGGTGCTTGCCAGCCGTGCTGCTAGCGGCGTCGGTGGTGGCCGTTAGCGGTGAGTGGCATCCTGTTTCTTCGTTTTTATTCCTCTTTGCGTTACTAAAGGGCAATATTCTTTTCGAGGATTCGTATTCAACACACATCTTATTACTTTCAAGAATTGGCAAGAACTCAATCGATTAAGCGAACAGTTTCAAGCATGATCGTTTCACGCTGAGAACATAGGCGCAGCATATCGCCACACGCGTTTCTTTTTTCGAGTTTGCTGCGTTCGGTGTACACTCCCAAAGAATTCCAGCAATGCACGGCGCAGACCGCGGCTCAAGGTTTGAGAAGCTTTGCGATTTTAGTAGAGCGTCTTAAGATTGTGCACGGCACGCGAACAGCCAAGTTTATTCCGAAATTACGCAGCCGCCAGCTATAACGCTAGAATCTTTGATAACGCATGTATGAAAGCCGGTGCGTTTTACCACTTGTCAGTTTATTGACGAAATATGTTTCATACACAGGTATTAGTGTACAGCGTGCATTGTTTGCTGCAGTTTGAGGTCGTGGTTCGTGACCACAAGTTCGGCCAAAAAAAGAATTTCATCTTTAAGACGCCGACTGCTGCCTTCGTCCATGTCTTGACCCTGTGACAATATGGTGAAGATGCGAGTCGATTGGCAGCAGGAGGGAAGATGTGAAAGGGCAGGCACTCAATTACAAATCTGATTTGATGATGAAATTTCTGCAACAGCAAACCAGTTTGTGGAAGAGAAAGTTTCTGAGGGCAGCCCGCTGGTTCAGTGGTGTGTGTGCCTTTCTGCTGTAATGCCGCTCATATCTTTAAAACTCTGTCACGTGGTTGGGACAGCGAAGAAGGTTGCAGCAAGACAGGTAAATGCGATACCCTTTATTTGGGTGAACTTGCACCTTTATATGAGAACTCGAGGTACGAACGGTTAACGCTGCCCACTGACTGCGGCGCGAACCAACGTCAGCCATCGAGTAATTTGATCTGCAGAAAGACATGTTATAAATAATACAGCTGGCGTGGAATCCTCAAGCTGTATCACCGTTGACCACGTTATCTCCAGCACAAACTGAACTGTACGCATTTGCGTGCTCATGCCTATCAAACATTTTTAAATGATCTGGAATGTACCCAGGACATACAGGTTGGTTTGCGCACTGCAGTAATTATGCGCGCAATGCACCAGTTGCATAAGAGTAGCAAAAGAAGCATTGGTAGAATATACTTGCAGTAGTTAGCGTGAATAGAAATGTTCTAACAAATATCAGGCGTCTTATGTTTAGTTGTGCCATGCTTTCAGATCACTGTTTTTCACACTGCTCTTCTTTCTCAGGCAAACAATTGATCTTTACCGTAAGCAAGGCTATGCTTCAAAATTGCATATAGGTGCTGAATATAGCTGTCAACTTGATCCACAAGTACCAATTACATAACAGGTATATCTTTATGATATTATTTTTCAGTATTTGAAAAACCGTAAATAAGCACCCAAGCAGTATTACTTATAAGAAATACCATAGTAAATCGTTGCATGAACCCTTTTGTAAGAAATCACTAAAAAACTGGTTGCTTAATTTCGCCCATGCTTTCCCATCAACAGGCCAGTTCCAGCGATTCAGGCAGCGTGACTCTGGCTACCCGGAGAGGCAGAGCTTGGACGTCGTCCCACTCGGCCGAAGTACCTGCTCCCGCCGCGGCCCCCGCCGGCTACAAGGACATCAGCCGCAGCCATGGCGGCGTCTACGTCGAGGAAATGTCCAACAGCTACGTCTTGGGCGGCAGGAGGCGGCGACGTAATCGCTTCAGGCTTCTTGATGTCCCCAATAATCAGGGTAAATGATCTGAAAGATCTCACGCTTTGTTTTGCTGAGTGTGCTAACATAACAAGCTCAAATCCTCGCGTTGTTACGGTAAAAACAGTTGACTTCACCATGATAAAAAGTACCATGCGCCTGAGGATGTCGTCGTAAGTGATATAAAATTTAACACTCAAATCCCATTGTTTATGCCACAGTCTCTAAACGCAGTTGAAGCGCAAAAGTGTTCATAATACTTATTTCTCAAGACTAAAAGGAATTTTTCGGAAATCAATACGACGAATTCGTAAAAGTAAATGACCAGTAAATAATACTTTAACGAGAAACTTTGTCCCTTTGATGCTGCCCACGACTGTACAGCCATCAGCACGTTTACCTCGAATGCTCCTCAGCGTGGCCTGAACTATATAGTTTAACTAATGCCAGCCATGAAGCACTGGCCGCTCTGGCCGAGGTAATACCTCGGTATACTTAGTAATTGTAGTTCACATAAACTGAGTGGGCTGCCCCCACACTTGCACTACTACCTTTCCATTTTTTTTTTTTTTTTTTTTGCATAGCCACACATTAGAACAACCTGCCTCACCGAATTCCCACCCTAGCCAGCGCACCCCCATTTACACAATGGATATCTTATGATCTTTCTGAATAAAAAAACACAGTGTCATTTTCATCATTCCAACTGCTTGTGCATATCACACAATTATGTTCGCATACACCCCTGTCTTGTTTATTATATGTTATTTCTAACAATGTATATCAACATATGCGAACCCAGCCTTTAGGTAACGGTCCTGTTTGGCTTTTATGTAATAAAATTGATGAAAGGAAATAACATGCATGAGTAAAATCTCGGCAGCAGAACCCAAAGCAACGTGGCGCTTGCGTCAAACTGTTTCGAGACACACTGCGGAACGTTCAAAATGCGCTTCCTGACAACTGTACGTAAGGAACAATATTCCGTGTACAGTATCATGTGGTGTATTGTGTCACCCAATCACTTGATCCTGTTAATACATTGGAATATGTTTCCTCGTATGCACGCTTTTGATGATTCACTATGAAGTCATCATATATTGCGGTGGGCTGACGCCGGATATACTTCAAAACTTTGTTGAGAGCTGGAAATCTTGTTTTTTGTTTGTCTGTTTTTGTTTTTCTGTTTATTTCAGGAGAGGAGTCACTGCAGTTGTCTCCCTATATAAATAAAGCAGCAAAAAATATTTTACCTTCAGGTCGTCTTAAGTGAGTGCCTAAGAAACCGAGTGACTTTTTCGACAATGAATCTCATCTATCTTAAAGTAAAACAAGCTACGCAATGCAATCAGGATCGCCATTTATTTTTTGGGTCTTTTTTACCTTTGTTTTGTTGCCCACTATAATTATGTACGAACAGGCTCAACTCCACATGCCTTTTATGCATCATCATGTCCCTTTATACGCCTTTTTTTCTGCTTACATGCTTGTCGAATCCATGCCTAATAGATAGTCAATCAAAATTTCTTACCGCTACACGTGCACTTTGAGTGAAGTACACAGTGGCGAAGGGACGATGAGGGTCACGTAGAGTTGCGGTATATATTTGCATCGGCATTGTAATGAACCTAACTGATTTCACGTGCTTATAATGCAATCGCCGCTTGTAGCCCTACCATTGTGACTTGCAATATAGGGTGGTGAAATGCATACGTTTGAATGAACTTTGTACCTAATTGGTATAGAAATGATGGCTATCTGAAAGCAAATATTGCCGGTCACTACGGCAACGAGAAGGCACATCAATCGCTACTCTTGGAACGTAAGACACTGCATGCAGCATTTCGTACAAGTAAACTCTTTAATTAGCTTTTTTTCGCCATGGACGATGCATTACAGAGGAAGTAGGACACTAGAAAAACGAACTTTTGACCAAGTTCTGGCCGCCCACACAGTAGACGTGAAGGGACAATTTGGTACATGGTTCATATATAGTAATGGATTAGCATATAAAGACAATTCCCAATGATATTGCATATAAACATTAACAGACACAACGTAGCAGCAGCTATATTTGGGCTAACATGAGAGATTCTAATGCAGCTGTGTCAATAGACGATATAATGTTATTTATTTACATCTCGTTCATTATTGCTATTTCTTAACGTATTGATAGTTCTTTATTCTTTGTAACCAAAAGTAAAATACTATCATTCTACCGCTCCGCTTTATTGACTCTAGTTACCAATACGTAGCCAAGTCTTTTGTTTTTTTTTTTGGTGATTAACACTTTGACCTTCCTCTTCCAGGTCCACTCGGGGGGCAGTTGGCCCCACAGCCTCAGATGCCGGGACAGAACAGTCAGGGCTACGGTCTGATTGGCTCTCTTGATCAGGCCGCACTGAATAGCCAAGGACAGGGCGCGAACGTCGCACAGGGACGTACTGGGGCACAGGGAGCAGCAGGACAATCGGGAGCCCATGGTGAGCAATATCAAAACACTGGGCTGTATTTCTTTTAACCCTCCCCCCCCCCCACTTAAAAAAAATGATTCAAGTAAACATGTTGACTTTCATTGAAGACCATTATATTGACTTCGTAGACTCGGGGGGAGGCATGATTCTCTAGTAGAGAATTAGTGTTGCGTTGTGACTGTTATCTAAATCCCACTGACTGCAGGTCAAAAGCCTCTCCCATGTTCGCCAATAAACTCGGTCATATGCCTGCGGCGGCCACGTTATCCCACAAAGCTTGATCTCACCTTTCACATCACAATTATTTCCAGGCTCTCGCAGTTGGGTTCGCTGGAAATCCAGTCTGTTACTCCAAATAACCAGCGGACGTCCTTGTTTTGCGCTACGTGCCCCACCCATCCCTCGTTCTTCACGATTTTGATTAAAATGTATATAACACCCGTATAATCTTTTAACAGAGATGTCCTTTGCACTTTTACCCATAATAAGACATAGGGAAGCGCTTGCGTGTAAAGAATCAATATGAATTTGCGTATGCTTTTACGCGCCGCGTCTCAGCAAAAAAAAAAAAACTTCAACTACGTTGTGCTTTGCCATTCGACTAGTCAGCGTGCATTCGTTCGTTTCAACGACCGCGCGCGCTTCAGCTGCCCTTGGCCCATCCTTACACAAGTCCTAAAAGGCTGGCCGTATGCTTTGGTCAAGCTTCCAAATTAATTTTGACACCAAGTTCTGACATGAATTATGTCTTAATAGCCATTCATCTCTCAGACTGATACCTAAATCACTCAAACAGGTGATTTCAGTAATCTAGAGTATTCCTTAGTTGTGGCAAGTCCTGACGCAAGCTGAGTGCTTAGATTGTCATTCAGTTGTTGCTGATTTTTAACTATTAGATGTCACAAAACTCACGCTTGGTAATAAAGTTGCATGCGATAAAAATGGTGTGTCGAAGGCATCGTTAACAAAAGAGAATCACAATAATTGCATGTAGTTTTGTAAGGGCGAATACACATTTGAAAAAGAAAACAGAAAAAAACATGCCAGGGCTTTTCATGCATTCGCCTAAGATGGCTAGAAGGTGAAAGTTTACTTCTCCTCGGTATATGTACTAATCTTCCCCGTCCCCCTCCGAAAGCTTTAGGCACCCTTGTTCTTCGCACTTGCATAGACACATATGTCTGGGGTGTGGACCCATTCCAACACTCTTTCACATCATGTGGGAGTGTTCAAGCACGGTGAAGAACATGACATATATGAACATATGACATATGAGACGAATGGAATGCGCTGCTCTTTAGCTGGCTTTGGAAGATGAGCTGCGGCTGATCCAAAGAGCCGGACTGATGAGCTCGTGCCAGTGGCGCCTTGGAACAGGGGCACCAACCTGTTGGACAGAGTACGCTCTTTATCCTTCATATTTTCTACGGGACACTGGAGTTCTAACCTGTCTGGTTTGTGTGTGTAATAAAGTTTTCTGCTATTAATACTACTACGGCCAGAAGCACACCTCCCCTTCGTTGCGCGCACTAGTTCCGTTTTCGGCTCATGCATCTTTGACCGAGCAACGATGTCATGTGATGACGTCCTCTAATGAACGTTGGTGGGTGGGGTGTGCTAAAGGGGTACTCGCCCCCCTCAAGCCGCACCAGTCCTTGTTCCCTACCCAAGCTACACCAGAGCACTCCACCTTCCCTAGTCGTGATGTAACGCGAGTTTGCATCCCCAAGAGAAAATGCTGCCGTTGACCATACGTCCTCCTCAGATATAACACGAGGTCATGGTGGTGCTAGCTGATAACGTCGTTCTGTGACTTCATCACGTGGTAATTTTTCAATCACTTGTGTTGACGCCACAGGCGACAGAGGTCAATCCTGGTGTTTTGTGATACATCAGAGGACATCTGATATATCTGAAATTCCCACGTCTTCACTGCGTCTTCACTCTGCTCTCGAACCAGGTCAACCGGGAAAACCAGGACAGCCTGGAAATGTGGGACCGGTTGCTCCACCTGGGGCTCTAGGACAGCCGGGGCCGACGGGAGGCTTGGGCGACCCGCAAGGTACTTCATTTATCGATCTTGTACTGAACACGTTAAATGCCTTCAGTCGCAAGCGTCCCGAACAAAGAAGAATAATAGAGTTCTTGCATATTTTCAAGAAATCAATCAACATAAACAAACATATTCAAAACAGAACACAATCAACAATAATCTAATCTGCTAGCCTGTCGTCATTTTTACATCTATCAAAACTTCCAGCGTTGTTCCTAGTGGCCGCGTCAATTCCTGCATGAACTTAGTGTTAGCGTTCCAAGCGCAATTAAAGTAGAATTACAGTTTAAAAAAATTGAGGATGCTTGGGCTTCGCCTTCAAAAGTAGGTCATGAAAGCGTAATCCCGGCCTCGCTCGCATCGTTTTGTGAACAGCTGGCTTGCTTCAGTTCTTGCCACGCCCCGGTGATCTAATGGCTAAGGTACTCGGTTGCTGACCCACAGGTGGTGGAATCCGCTCCCGGCTGCGGCGGCTGCATTTTTGATGGAGCAGCTGCATTTTCGACAGAGTCGAAAATGCAGCCGCTGGAGTAGCAGCTGACGGAGCCGAAATTGCTGTAGGCCCATGTGCTCAGATATGAGTGCACGTTACACAACCCCAGCTGATCGAAATTCCCGGAGCCCTCCACTACAGCCTCTCTCGTAATCATACGGTGGTTTTGTGATGTTAAACCACACATATCAACACCATGTTTCGATTATTGGTACACGCCTCAACCACGCAGAAAAAAAGTGAACGACCATGCGTATAACATTGGCTGTTTCAAGTACCATTGAATGCCCCTGTGGAGGATCCACTGAACGTCCACAGGGCAACACGTGAGCTTGCGCAGTGGTTCACTTTGTTGATGGTTCTGCTGCTGATGATAAAATATCTGAGCTCTCTGTGATGGGTGGGCCTTTATTACACTGAATCCGTTGCTCAATTTAGATCTTCTGGCGCCTGGCGTGCATCTATGTTTCCGCCGCACCACATAGGATATGCTAATGAGTCTCCTTACAATACATGCATGATATTCATACCGTTTCTTTTTTTTTTCTAAGCACTTTCGAAAAGTCTCGTGGCACACGGCCGGGGTTCGATCATTACTCGGACTTATAAATAGTTGTTATTTACTTAATTTGCAACTTTCTTGATTTTTTGGCCACGGCTCTTTTTAAATCACTTTTTAAACACACACACAAAAAACGAGAAAGTCACGCAGCATTAGAAACACTTGAGGGAGTGAGCAAGAGTCCCTTGCAAATGCATTATGAAGTCGTCCAGATGGCTGTACGTAGGCTGCTACTTTTAATATTAGAAAATGTTGGTATTTAACGTCGTAAGCCCACCTAAAGTATATGAGAGTCCCCTTAGCGGATGGCTCTTAAATTTCAACCAGCTTGAGTTTTTGTTCTAACGTGAACAAAAATATAAGCAAATAGGCCTTTTCGCATTTTTGCGTCTATCGAGAACGGGGCTATAAAAGCCTCATTCTTTTTTATGGGTATGTATATTGTCATCCATCCACGATCGATTTTGCGCTGCTTGCGAGATAAAAATAGTTGAGCACTGAGAAGCAACGCTGTTTTCGTGGCAACTAATGAACGTTAGCACAAAAGTGTATGCATGACCAACAAACCGCAGACACACAAGCCACAGCCTGTGTTTAAGCACACAACCTTATAGTACCTACCAATCAAAACAGTTTTGATTATAAATGTTGCACTGAGCTTTCGGCGTTTTCTTGACAATGCTGTTACCGATAGATAAGCTTTCCGTTGTGCTTGAGAAAAGAGGTCCCACAAAGCTTGGCTCTTGGTTTCTTCAACATTGTATATATTCGTCACCTATGACGCTAATAAAGCTAGAATTTTTAAAGATGAATTGATATTTGCTCGGGCGATATTGCGTAAGTAAAACGCCTTTCTAAACCCCTATAAACCCCCTTCATCCTAATGAAAAACTTGCACTCATTTTGGAAGAATGTTGCCATCATTTGAAGTGCTGCAGAGACATCTATAATCCTTATGCTGAAAAAAAAATATTCTAACCCATACCTCCTCTATATTTTGTCCTTTTCGCTAAACACAACTTCAAAGCGAGGCATTTTCGCATAATGTGTAAACATAACAGAGTAATCTGCCAAATTTGACGTTTAACATGCGCCACATCCTCCCCACCAACTTTCCATAGTTACTGCGTGAAAAGGCTTGTGCATGCAATTTTCTGTGTGCAATGTGAAAACTTTTTGAAGTGAAACGTTTGCGAATGCACATTTGAGTGGTGGGGTCAAGAGCGAAAAATCTGGTGCCAGCAAGCCTACTTAAGTGCGGCCTTCGAAGGTGTATCGACAGCGTGCGTGTTCTTATGCGCAGTTTTCTGCGCATTTAGCTGGGCTACTTGGCTCTGTATGTCGACAATGTAGATATGCTTTGAAGACGTGGACACAGAAGAAAGGAAACACACATGCGCATTGTCTATCCCCGTCGCTTCGCGGTCCGCGTCTTCAAGGCTCACCCACATTATCGACCATTTTTTTCTGAACTGACGCTATCTAGATAATGAATCTTTTGCGCATGAAGGACGAAGACACACACTAAATTTTCACAAGGACTGGCGCAGTTTCTTCATCAAGCCCAGTTTTATCTATTGTTATCTCCATCTTGGGCTTGTCTTATCAGCCCAATTCTGATAGATGAATGAGACCATTTTATTAATTGACTTGTTATTTTCAATTCCGAATTTCATTGTAGCCTCTATATGAACGCGTGACCAAAAGAAAAAATGAAAGAAAAAATTGTATGGAACGTAGGTGCAGTACTTCGCTTGACCGCCTTTCTGCGATAGAGAAACGTTCATAAACTTTTTTATTAGTAAAGGTCTCCACCTTATTTTGAACAGCGTGCATTGTTTTACACTGTTGACAACACTTAAGAGTTTGTAATTGTGACCTCCAGGACCCGAAAATCGCAACCTCGGTGAGAAAACGCCGATCCAACCAGCAGCTGGTAAGGCAGGGGCCCCGGGGGCTGCTGGAGCTCCAGGCCAACCAAGTCAACCAGGACAGCCAGGACAGCCAGGTCAGCCAGGGCCGCCAGGTCAGCCCGGCCAGCCGGGACAGCCCGGCACTCACGCACCACCAATAGGTGATCAGCGTTGCAGAACTGCGTGCATTGGTCTACTATTTTAAACACTCTTAACATATTCGTCCCCATGAACTCCAGGTCCCGAGCGTCGTGGCCACGGTGAGAACATGCCGGTTCATCCAGCGGCTGGTAAGCCAGGAGCCCAGGGTGCTGCTGGAGCTCCAGGACAGCCGGGTCAGCCGGGTCAGCCGGGTCAGCCGGGTCAGCCGGGACAGCCAGGCAATCGCGCACCACCTGCAGGTGATCAGCTTGGCAGGAGGGACGCCAACGAAGCTGGTTCTGCGGGCAAGGATCAGTCGGCATACACGGGTCTTCCGGGTCTGCCAGGAGAACCCGGTCTTCCAGCGGTACCACAGAACCCGTCCGTAGAAAGTCGCAACTTTCCCGAGGGTCGGGGTGGCACGCCTGGAGAGCCTGGTCATGCGGGGAAGGATGGTGAGTAGCACAACAGGGGTCTATACTACGTTTCAAAGATCATTCAAAAGCTTGGTTAATTAGCGACTCCAAAGTATTCACTGCAACTCACTACAAATGCGGTCAAAGTGACGTAGCCGCTTCGACACCTATGTAGGTGGCATCTTCATTGTACACTTACATCGCATAACAGATGTGCGCCAGTTCACTGTCAATAAATCCTTAACTTCCGGTAAAGGGGCCAGAAATGTTGCAACCCGATGCGTCACGACGAACAAACCACAATACGGCAATCGTGCTTTATTGCGCATACTTCCTTTTGAGCGAGTTAAAGCTCACATTGTCTAGGTATGCTTGACTGTGGCGCAAAGTATATTTCCTAAAAAAACAGGGAAAAAGCGAAGAGAAGCAAAGTGCCGCCCTTTCTTCTTATTGTGTCCTTTTTCGCAAATCGCATTTTGCGCCATAGTACAGCCTATGCAAGCATGGTTCATCGGCAGTATGGGCTTGTAATTGGTAAACTGGTTGATCTCCGCTCATTCGTTTTTAGGGTACACCGAAGAATCCACCTGCATAGCTCGCGAGACACCCTCATTTTCTTAATATTAAATCGTTAGGTGGGGGTAGACCTTTCCCAAACATACTCCATTTCATGCATCAGTTGCGGCTCTACGAAGGCTAGCGAGACTACTGGCCGTAAATACTCCGCAAACGTGCCACCAGAGCTGATCGCGGAGGCTGAGCACGAGACGCGCAGACTTTCGGTTGGTTCACACCTACTATACTAGCACTAGTCACCCGGTAAAGATTTACGCAAAGTGACTGGTTGCGAATGGCTGCTTTAATCGCAAAGCAACTGTGTTAGCTCAGGCCCTCACTGCTACGTTTTAGGCCATGCTACCGCAGTAGTGAACATCTGAGCGAGTCATACCCACAGGAACAGGACGTCAGCAAAACAGCACATCGCCGAGGTGATGGGTAAGCTCGAGGTATATGCGAGCAAACTTGAGTTCTGCGAAGTGGCGGCCCCAAATCACACACATGTGTTAGCATCGGTCATCTTGTCAATTTTTATCGCCGGTCCGAAGGTTGCCCCAGCAGCGAGAACAACACCTTTAAAAGAGTCTTGACACATTTGGCTGGCGAGATGTCTTGCATGGCTCCCACAGCGTTGCACCCGAAACATTACATGAAGTACTGCTGTAAATGTGAAAATTGCAAGGCAACAGCGCTTAAACACACAGAAGTAGGCGCTGTTTTTTTACCATCTCAACGACATGACTTCGTAATGACCGTCACACGTGCGTTCTCTGGTGTTTTTCCAAGTGTTAACCACGCGGTGTGACCCGAGGCCGAATTTTCGTTATCGCGCGTCAGCTTTGCGCTTGCAAACACACACACCACACGGGTGTGTGGTGTGTGTGTGTGGTATATTATATATATATATATATATATATATATATATATATATATATATATATATATATATATATATATATGGCACAACGGGAGCGTTGTCAACAAAGATAAATATATTTATTTCCCAACAGTGTCGGGAGGGGTCCTCCCTTCATCAGGGGATGAGTTACACTTACATGAACTTCTTCCAAACTTCGTTGCTGCCGCGTCCCTCTCGCCTTGAAAAATGCTTGCGAGAGTGAGAGAGAACTAAAAAAAGAAAAAAAGAGAAGAAAAATGAAGAAAGGAAAGTAAGAAAAAGCACTGTGAACACTGAGCACGAAACCAAATGTCGGTGTACGATCTCCCGTGCTGGCCAGTTCTCCACGTGTGTCGGGCAACCCATATATATATATATATAAATATATATATATATATATATATATATATATTAGCGTTGACAGCTGAGTTTGTTGACGCATCAACTTAAATACAAAGAAGCGGTAAAACACACACACACACACACACAGATATATATATATATATATATATATATATATATATATATATATATATATATATATATATATATATATATATATATATATATATATTGTAGCGAAACGTCGGGGTTGTTCAAATTAGGCGCATCGGACGACCAGGGAGACGAATAAGTGTGGGTGAAACTCCGCGGAGGCAATCGATGAGACGCCAACACGATGATTTCGGGGAGCACTCATTGGGGGTTTATTTAGCTAACACAACTTCAATTTACAAAATGCACTGGGTCACAAAGACAAAACATAGAAAATGGTGGCGTACCCCTCGGCCTGCATAGCTGGTCTCCGGTGGTGAGATCCGCTGTTGACCCCGACTCCGCTCACTTTTCAAATTCAAACATCCTCTTTTTAACCATTGGTCGAACAAACAGTCTTCACAAAAACCAATCATATGTTGGGACTCGCAGCATCACAACCAATCACAGAAACACTTTTATAAAAGGCACTACATTTGTAAAAACCTCGTCCCCAAAATGAAACACGCAAAGGGATAGGTCCTCCGCACGTGACACTCTCTCCCATGCCAGGCCGTGCTGCCCAACATTACTCGTGCTGCCTCCTTCGGCCGACTACCGTCGGCGGCCGTTCCCACGCTCGGGCCCCGTCAGTTCTTTCATTAACTGTTGCTTCCTAGAAGCGTCCTTAAGAGCGATGGATACACCATTGGGCTCCGTGCGCTTACCAGGTGTACATGCGACAGCGAGGCGTCCCGACATCCTAACAACAGCGCGGGAGAATATGGTCGTTTACCTGCCGCCACTATGTCTCGGTCAGGATAAGTGGTCGCGTCCCCATGTCATTCTGAATGACACGCGTGCCTGTTAACAATGGCTTAAACTCAGACGGTGGCGCCGGACCTGCCTCTTGCTAGACGCTTTTCCGAGTAAGCTTTCCCCTTCTAATCCCGAACGGGGGCGACCTTGACTGCTCCGCTTGTGAGCCGTAAAAGAACAGGGTTCTTCGCGAAACCTTGTTCTCGCGACATCTCCCCCCTACGAAAAAGAGTGTCCCACTCGTTTAACTGCAAAACACGACAAGAAATAGACTAATCATACAAAAAGGTTTTGCATTCAACAAGGATGTGAGATGCTTATTTAAAGACACTTATGCATGTGTATAAAAGGTGAGAGGCTAAAAAATATACATAAAAACAACAGATGAAAAAACAAAACAAAATCATTGGGCACAGAAATATATAGGTTCACTCGTCGGTACTGCAATACAACTCAGTGTCCGTTTCGTAAGCACTGACATTCTGTTGTGCGTTGTTATTACTTGAAAATGTCTTCCAGTCCGAGTAAAGTTCAGTGTCCGTGTCGTAGCTTTCGCACTGCTGTACTGGAACACTGGTCTGTGTCCCGCGCACACAATGTTGCAAACGGGGTTCCTGACCCACTCGCGAACCGCACTCACGCACATCACCATTGGAGCCGCACTCGCGCACAACACTTCGATGCAATCCGTGGTCATTTCTCCTGGCACTGCCCTCGCGCACATCACCACCGAGATCGCGCACCTCATGATTATAATCAGAATCATCGTACGCGTCGTCGGCATCGGAGTGCAATCGAACGTGGCAGGGCTTTAAACGCGCCACATTCACAACGTCACGTTTTTTCCCAGTTTGGTCTACCACCTCCCAGTTGTTCTCGGCTACCCGGCGCACAAGACGGAAAGGTCCGTGATATTTGTGAAGAAGCTTCGTCGTCTTCCCTTTCGCCCGGGAGGGAGTCCACAAGTACACCAAGTCACCCTGATGATAAACAACACTTCGTCGCCTAGCATCATAGCTGCGCTTGTTCTTCTCCTGCTGACGCTTCTCCCGTTCATTTACTATTTTTCGAGCCTGCCGCAGCCTGCGGGCCACTTTCATTGCATCCAGGGTGTAGTCGAATTCGCGTTGCGCGCCCGACCCTACATCCACCGGTAGTGTCGGTTCATGTCCGTGAAGAAGAAAGAAGGGAGTGAATCCAGTCGTCTCGTGGGTGGAAGAATTGTATGCAAAAAGAACGTACGGTAGGAATTCATCCCAGTCGCGATGGTGTGAGGAAACGTACATGCTGAGCATGTCAGCCAACGTGCGGTTAAAACGCTCGCACAAGCCGTTGGCCTGTGGGTGGTATGCTGTTGTGGTGGCATGCTCGCTACCCACGAGGCGGAATATTTCTTCGGTCAAGTTGGCGACAAAGTGCTGCCCACGATCGCATATTACTTTCTCCGGGGCACCATGACGTAGGACGATTTGTTCGACGAAAGCTCTTGCTGCTTCTGCGGCAGTGGCCACTGGACACGCGACAGCCTCGACCCATTTCGTATGGTAGTCGGTAATCACGACGATGTAGCGGTTCCCTGCTTTGGATTTAGTGAAAGGCCCAATGAAGTCCATGCCCACCTGCTGAAAAGGTCGACCTGCAGGTGGGATCGGTTGGAGGAAACCGACCGGCCTCCCCGGTGGTTGCTTTCGTGTCTGGCAGTCGGGGCAGGAGAGAACGTACTTGCTTACGTACGAGAACATCTTTGGCCAGAAATATCGGCAACGAACTTTCTCCCATGTGCGCTTGACACCTAAGTGGCCTGCCGTGGTGGCGTCATAACAGTACCTTAAAATCTCAGATCTCAAGCACTTGGGGACAACGAGCGCCGCACGATCCTCCTGAAACCCTTTCGCCCTTCGATACAGTACACCGTCGATCAACCGAAAGCTCCATGCCGTTCTTTTAGTTTTCCTGACAACGGGCGCATCCGGGTGCTCGAGGTGCTGCATAACTTCTTTCATCCATGGGTCTGCCCTCTGCTTTTTTCTAACATCCACCTGATCCAGAACCAGCAACGGTAAGGGGTTTTCTTCGCTTACAGGCGCGGGATCATGAGGAAGGCGGGAAAGCGTGTCGGCATTTCCATTCTTGAGGCCAGGGCGGTGTCGCAACGTTATGTCAAATTCCTGAAGCAACAGAGACCATCGCATAAGACGACCGTTCGGATTCCTTACTTTCATTAGCCGAGCCAGGCTGGCTTGGTCAGTCACGGCCGTGAACTTAGCACCAAAGACGTATGGCCGAAACT